TACGATAGGTACGTTGGCTCATTATCAGGTTACAAAGTCCACGCATAATTTATCTACAAACTTAATGGTCTACAATGATTATTGTATGTACATCTATTTATATTTAAAACACTACAAAAACAGTTAAGTAATAATCTAAAATTGCGGATGAAATTCCAAGTAAACAACGTATAATAATCAAAGAAAATAGTAGGCTTGTTTGAGTTACAAAAGTTTTTCGGATGTACAATCATTTTCAAACAACCTCTCCGAAGATTCTTAGCTTATTTCAATATTATATTTTTACACCCACAACTTGTCACCTCAAACAATCTTTAATTGGAATGTATAAAATTATTTTTGAAAAAATAACTATTTTTGAAAAAATAGTTTAGCGATCTCGACCCAAAACTAACCTACGTCCAAAAAATCCATAAGTCTTTGATAGTGATATACTTACATTAAGACCGAAAAGTTTTCGGAAATTCTCATTTAAAATTCGCGCGCTGTATATTTTTCGATATTTTAAGTTTATGTAGTTTGGCAGCAATGTCCTTAATTACTATGCCAAAAATGAGCGCGATCTGTCAGACAGTTCGTTTACGGCAGCTGTTGAAACCAGTTCACCTCAGTAGTGCGTTGCGAAAAAAACAATGGAAAAAAATATTGGACAAAGAGTTTGCATCAAATTTTGTGTTTCGAACGAAATTTCGTGTGCAGAATCGTTGCGAATGCTACAAAAGGCTTATGGGGAATCAGTTTTATCGAAAACTCAAGTTTATGAGTGGTACAAAGCCTTTCAGGACGGTCGTACGACCGTCGAAGACATTTCGCAACGCACTACTGAGGGGAACTGGTTTCAACAGCTGCCGTAAACGAACTGTCTGACAGATCGCGCTCATTTTTGGCATAGTAATTAAGGACAGTGCTGCCAAACTACATAAACTTAAAATATCGAAAAATATACAGCGCGCGAATTTTAAATGAGAATTTCCGAAAACTTTTCAGTCTTAATGTATATCGCTATATTAGTTGTGCCGTAATAAAATTTATTGATGTTAAATACTTAACATTTACAAATAGTGAGAATCGGAAAAATCTCTTCAATTTTGAATTTGGACGCAAAAGTACGAAAAATATATTAGGCAAAAATATTGAGCTTTTCTTTGTGTGTAAGCTGTTCAGTGGTCGGATTGAATTTGTGTGTTTACATTTCCATGTCGTTTGCATTGTATGTTATGGTACAACTAATAACGTTTTACGTATTTTCAAGATATATACGACTTATGCAGAGAAATGAGAATAAAGAAGATTTTACAATATCTCTTACGTTTATATCATGTGTTGTTACGATTACACCTATTATTATTGATACTGCACAACTTAGGAAGTAAAAAGATGTCTTCAGAACAACAATTCAAGTACTGCCTATATTCGAAAAAACGGTTGACATTCTACAATCATACATAGAAGTATTGCTTCGTTTGGTATCGCTAAGAACATATAGATCTATGTTTGGCTTATATCTAGACAGACCAATCAATATTCTAAACATAAACTAGCCATATCAGATTTTTCTATAGCTACGATTAATTCGACTATAACTGCATTCATATTTATTGTTTCTTTTGGCATGATAAACAATTTCAATATCAGGTCGCCATCTCATTCAACTTGGTAATAGTTATGCCTTCAGTCGTGTTGTATAGAATAGTTTGGCTTTAATGTTAAATGTTAAATTTTCGGCTATGAGGATATTTTCATCTAAGTAATAAGTTAATGTAATGTGTCTTTTTAAGATCAATAATGGCTGCTGGATATATGGTACTTACTTCAACTTTTTTATTAATAATTTATACGATTACATTAAATAAAAAATCTTTAAATTATTCTATATTATTAAATTATATTCTGTTTTACTAAACAGAAAATTTTAAATGTAATAATTTACTCTATTTTTTCATGGAACTTTATAATGAATATCAGACATTCTTCTAAAGATCTTTACGCTCAAATAAATTTTTGCTGATTTTTTTTTTTTGTGAATTCAAATTCCAAATACTTATTGATTATTTGATTGTTTATTATGCGCTTGTACCAATAATATTCAATCGGTATGGTTGATTTTATTATCATAAAGCTTCCTTTTCAGCCTAAGAAGTACATAACCGCAGTTTTCTTACCACACATCTAGATTTAGAATAAAATTTTTAAATACTATGTTCACAGTTAATAAAGAAGATTATCATTTTGAGATTTTTATTTGGTATACCTATCATTGTTTAGAGCATACCATAACAAATTGTCTTAATCTCGATATGGTTAAACAATTGAAGAGAAATTACACCATTTCTTCAACTTGGCTTTTGTAATTCTAGTTAACTAATTATTCAGCCTAGATATCATCGGCTACGGATCTATAAAAACTGCCAAAAGTTCAATCCAGAATCCCTATCATCATATATTATACGAGTATTTCAATAATTTTGAACAACCTCCATTGTTATAATTGGAGGTTGTTAAATCAATCAAATTGTAAAAATTTCTGACTAAGGGAAATTGTATAATCCATTATTATCATGTATTCAAAGTAATTGGCCCTCAGAAAAAAAAATTTTAACAGCATTTTTTACTGCTTTACTATATTTACAGAATAAATAATATTTATTTTATGACATATTTTATTTATATCCATTTTCCTTAAATATTAATCATTTTCCTTTAAACGGTTCTCCTTTAAATAATTAAAAATACTTATAAATGATTTAAATGCCATCAACTAAAATTAATGTTCTTAAATTATATTCATATAAAGTTTAAAAGAAATTAATAATTTATTTACTTAATTTAAGCGTGAAGATGACAAAACCATAAAATTAACACCACGCGAACGAAGATTTATCAAATTTGCTTCAGCTGAATATAATGGACAGCTTTATATGACACCGCAGGATTTTTTGGACTCAGTTGTGGAACAAGAACCCAGACGTATGTGTAAACAGTTTTTATTCTTCATATGTTAGTATTGTTAATTTTTTCTTTTGTATATGACGATAGCACGCCTTAAGCGTCGATCAATAATGACTAATGACTTAAATCGTATTAAAGACACAACACCAGCATTGAAGAAAGGTTCAGCTCGTATGTTTAGAACTCTCAGAGATAATGGTAAGTACATAGTTGATAATATTTAGAATCATCCATTTAATAAAAGTAAATGTAAAAATCACTTGTGATTAAAATCTTGATCAAATTTTTGTTGCAATATATTACACTATATAAAAGAATCACTATTTTTACTCTATATAATCTATACTAAAAAATCCAAATTTAACGTATGATTATGGTGCTAAATCAGGACCTAAAAATAAACGTATATAATTACTTTTAAAAATGTTCGGTTTATGATACAATATATTTTAACTATATACGGAGTTGCAAGAAGCCATCTAAAAGTAAACAATTAAAATGCAATTATGCAAAAAAAAAATTTAATAGATGAAATAAACAATATAAAAACGTGATATGTTAATATGAGACAGTGTAAAGGTTTCAGTTTGATTCGATTCAAATTGGACAATTTTGGTATTTAGAGTATCTGGATGTATACTTGTAGATATTTGTATATTAAACCTTCATGAAAATGGTTTTTCAAGTTATTTGTAACACAATGAAGCAAACTTTAGAAACGATATAAAAGTGTATACTCTTGATCACCTTAACGGGATACATGTTGTTGTTGTTGTAACTCACTGGGACCTGTAAGCGGATAGTATGTTGGGATATTCAAGACGATTACATGGGTGAGGAAGTGGAGAGATAATACTTGGTGGTCATGGAAGGGAAATGAGGATAAGGGTTCGATTGGGTAGGTGGTATTTAATTGAACATTTTAACCAGGGTTCAGACGGAGAAACCTGGCCACTTCAATGGAGCGAGTGCAAATGTTAATTGGACGCAGAGTTGTGTGCGTTGTAGGAAATGGTATACATCAATCTATTTGACGCTTTATTAGTTTCTTAGTTTTCAAGATAATCGAATTATATTAATGAAATCTTTAAGAACGGGTCTGAGATATATGAAATAGGTAAAAGCAATTCAATTAGAATACATTCACCTCTCACTTGAATTGTTTAATTTGAACTGCTTCCTTAAAGATTAGAAGAATCATTTATAAAAATATTAATATTAGTTCTTCAGTGATTTCATCATTTTTATCTTACCAAACACACTCCTTCATTTAAGGTTTATTGTTATTGTAAATAATTAATTAAAACAACTAATTTTTGTTAAAAATATTAAAAGAAATAAAATCTAAATTTTATTTTAATTTATATACGATATTAATATTTATTATTCTTATTTCAGGCATTATTTCATACACCGAATATTTATTTCTTTTATCTGTGCTAACAAGTAAGTATATAACTCAGTATATAATAAAATTTAATACATATAATAATTTATATTATAATTAAGTAATAATGAATTGTAATAATAAATAAATAAATAAATATAATGATTCTATTAACAATTTTAAAACATTAAATAAATATATTTTTTTTTTGTCATTATAGAACCAATTTCCGGATTTCGCATAGCTTTTAATATGTTTGATACTGATGGAAATCAAAGAGTCGATAAAAAGGAATTTTTAGTGGTATGTAAATAGTAATTTCAAAAAATAGTTTAGAACTACAAAACTATTGGAACAACATAAAGAACTAGTGAGGATCATCAATGACTCAATAAACCGCAGTAAAGTCCCCAATAATTTTTTTATTTTGATTTTAAGTTAATTATGTAAAAAAATATTAGGTATTTTTAATGTTTATTTATTTTTTTATTTAATTTTTCCATATACCATAAAATTTAATTTAATTTTTTATAATTTCTTTTTAAACTTTTTTTGTAGTTAAAACATATTTTCGGTGGTTCATTTAACGAAAGAAATTTGGATGAAGACACACGCCAAGTTGTAAGCATTTTTTTTTTTTTACTTTTTTTTTAATTTCTAACTGTATGTCTTTATTACCGTAAGTCTTTTTAAAGCAGCGACTCGAATTAGTATATATTTATACACAATAATACTACTAATTCAAATTTAAATGAATTTATTTTAATATGTAAAGTATATGTTGTATATAACTATAAATAATTAAAATTTAGGAAGATTCGAATAGCAAAGAAATGTATATTTAATTTATTTTATTGTTTTTATATTATTTAATACTTATTATTATTATATAAAATATTTAGTATAATTTAATGCATTTAGTATATTAATGTACACTTAAGTGTCGGTAGATACCCTTTCGCCTCACATAATTATTAATGTTGTTAATAGTCCGTTCCTCTCGAAAAACTCCACTTAGGAGAGAAGGGCAGGAGTAAGTAAGTACGTAAAAGAGTAGACTGGTTTAAACTGGTTAGCCGGTACATTAAAAATCATTATCATTGTAATCGTTTGTATACTTTACTATCTGTTACTTAATTTACAAATAAGAAAATGTTTCTGTCGGTTTCCATATTTCTTTGTAACTTTATTTGCGATTAGTAGTCCTGATTCTGTCTCTAGGTTTGCAGATAATCCTGAGAAATGAACATCCAGTAAAAATTGTATCTTTTCCTCTTCACCTTCGGTGGAGTTACCATCTTCTCGCTTAATATTGGTGGAATTGGCGCTGTTGCCTTTTGAAAGCAACTTTGTATTCTGTAATCAGACATAGAAGGTTCACTGGATACTCTCCAGTTTTTGACAAACTCACAACCGCGAGTATTTCCTATAGTAATACCTTGGACCTCTTTGCGTGAGTTAGTTGCAAATGTTGGTGAATTGCCTACATTAAGTATTGTTAATTTCTTACTAGTTATAAATTCAAAAAGGTACTCACCTCTTGTGTTGATGTTTATACTTTTCGTTGTGCGCTTTGGAGTCGCAACCAAGTATGAGTGGCATTTTCATATTCTTTCAGTAGCCCACCAGTTTATCGACCTCTACAGATGGTATCTGAGTGTCGTCTCCTGGTAGATAGCCTGTAGCTACGAGAGAGAGAGATCTAAGGCATCAATGTCCTCACTTCCGTGAGGTTTCACACTGCTTTCGTTAATCTCATGTCTGGCCGCCTCCTCTACTTGTTCCGCAACGGCTGCTGATAGCGTTCCCTCAGCTGGTGTGGTTGCCCCAGCCGAGTTACTTCCCTCTTTGTTCACCCGCCCCTTATGTAAGTGGACCGAGACGGAGCTGAACCTGTAAAAGACCCTACAGCCGTTGGTTTTAATGGCCTCCTGCGACAGGCTGTCAATCCCAATCGTCAGAAGTTTTCCATTTTTCACATCCTTGCCGCTAATTACTCTCCATAGCTGAGTATGCAGACCCTCATTCTGCGTGATGAGTAGTTTTAACAGCTTTTCCGTATCAACACCTTTGGCTCTCGGAAGGTAGACCGTCATCATGTATATACTCGGTATGTTGTCCCCGGTACACGTGGTGAGTTCAACACCAGCCCATCCGTCCAGCTCAGGTGCCGCCCTGTGAACGAATTTCGCCGCTTCTTCATCTACACAGTCAATTAGTATGAGTCCTGACCGAAAGTGTATTCCGCTGAATCTTAGCTTGGAATCCCATCCCTTATACATCTTCTCAATGAGGAGTTCTTCGATCTTTCCTTGTTCGTCTCTCGAGAGAGTTGCCTCCGGGTAAAACTTGGGAAGGATGACTATTCTTAAGCTATTGGCTACACTATCATAGCTACTGCCCGATAATGTTTTTCTCGGTTGTTTTGGTGCAGCCATTTCCGTTATATTTTTCACTGGCAGAGGTTTGTCATTCCCTCTGCTCTTTTTAGCCGATTGGACATCGATCGGATTAATTTCTTGGGCAGGCCTCTTCTTAGAGTCTTGACTACCTTTTGACCGATTCAGCGCCTTTTCCTTTGCCGCGGCAGGCGTTAAGCCTTCCTTGAGGTAGCGCAAATACCATTTGGTACCCGCACCACTCAAGCCAGTCGTTTTCCTGACTTCGCGTAAGCTTTGGCCTGAAGTCAGTCCAGTACTTGTCGAGGGCTGTGGTAGTGTTTCGACGGTTGCATTTTTCGGTGCAACTTTCGAGCCCACAGTTTCTTGACTTTCCTTCCATAACGGAATTCCCGTTTTGGATTCAAACAGCAAAGAACTAGTTATGTTCCTAGGCTCTTCACCCACTTTCCACAAGTGTGCCTGGCGATCGGTATGTTGGATATCAAACTCCATCCAATCAGCCAGGCTAGTTGCAGTATGTGTTCCTGCTAGTTTTTTTATAATATTATTTTTTTGTTCCATATAGGTCCCACGAGTGTGGGGGAAAATAGGTCCGCCGTATCATAGCCCCCGGTAACACGGTAAGCCCACAGTTACTCACTGAGGCGGGCAGGTATCAGTGAGGTGCGACGCTAAAATACAGTCTGTTACCCCCGACTGCAAACAAGTCCGATGAACACGCGCAATTCCGGATTGGGGGAAAATGGTAATGGAGAAGAATTAGGAAAGGATGTTGGAGTGATTGCAGTTAGGAATTTTAGGAATCGGAGGGGTACAGGTATGGCTCGCATTAGCCGCTAAAAGCGTTACCAGGGATCACCACGTGGAGGCCCTCCTTTCGGAGGGGGTGAGTACTTGGGATTAGTCTCACCTGCGAGTCCGTCTAGTGAAATACTAGGATCCCCATATATATATAATATTATTTATAAAAATATTTATTTATGGTAACAATCGTTGTAGTATAATAATATACTTTTAAGTAGCAATGAACTATTATTTCCGCTACTAGTAACAAATATTTTAACTATACGTTTAGTTTTAGTTTTTTTGTGATTGATTAATTTATCCCAATTAACTAAACTATCGTAAATTCCGTACGAGTGTGAGGATTCTCTCGAAAAAAGTATGATAGAAATAATAGTTGTACTAAAATATCACACATGTGACATAAAACGATTTTCTATCGTAATTTTTATGATAATTTCTCTCATGAATTTATTATCACTTTTCGTTAGAAAAAGTATCGTAAAAACAGCTTATCGCGACTGTGTTAATTGGGCTCCTACATTATAACGTCTTCTTTGTAAAATGTTGCTTGATACCACACATTTAATAGATCATATTCTATTAAATCTTATATACAAAAATATTAAGGGTTATTTATTTACTTTGCAAAATTCATATATTTTATATAATCGGATTATTGTTTTATGTATTTTTACGAGTTTATTTAAAACGTTATTATTTAGCTCTTTAGCTTATATTCACCAGAGGCTAAGGCAAGGTTATTAAAAATGCAAAAAGAGGAAAAAAAAGTTGAGAAACCAAAACCGAAACCTAAAAATTTATTTGTAAGTTTTTTAAATTAAAAACAAATTGTTAGATTTAAAAAAATTAATGTTATTCTTGTTTTGTTTGATTGGCTTTTATGTATGTGAATATACGTATTAATTGTTTATAGTTATTTTGTTTAATGATTTTAAATTGATTTATTTTTAATGCTTACACAAAGCTTACTCTGCAAGCCTCTTGAAATGTGCCTTTCTTGCTTCAAAGTTCAATAGTTTATAAGATATTAAATTTTTTTATAAAATAATAATCTTATAATACTATACTACATGATATTAATTCTCAACTCTTCAATTGAAATGTGTTATAGATCTAATTGAGAGTAAAAATATCATTAAAAAAATTTAATTCGTTAATGTTTTGTTTGTTTTTTTTTTTATTTAATTACGTTTTAAACAATTTTCAGAGTTTTTTTATATTAATTTTACTTATTTTATATATATTTTTAAATGCTGCTATTTTTCTTATAACCTATTTTCTATTGACGGTTTAAAATGGATAATATTAAATTATAAGCACTATTTTTTTATTTTCGTTATATCATTTTTCATTTACTAGATATAATAAAATTAAAAAAGAATATCTATTTAGTCGCTTTAACTATCGTCACAACACCATTTGGAAGTTATTGCTATAGTCAGGAATTTAACTTACCATGTTTAATAATAGATTGTGCAATTTGCTATTTTACTTAATTTGATCTATAAAGATTTTTCATATTTATAGTCGAACGTAAATAGTCAGTTGTGACTTCTGTAACGGATCGATACATTGGGTCGATCTATTGAGCTATATTACGACTTTTATCAGAAAAACATAATTTCCTAGTGACTGTAATTTTTTTTTCTTTTGAAATCGATGCACTACTCTATTTCTATACTTATTACAGCCTTTGTATGTCTATTCCTTTGTTGTAATCTCTGGAGTTGCGACGTCCAATGATGCAAATTTAAAGCATCATTTGGTTTCCATTGACAATTAAACTTTTGCAACCTTATTTCAAATGGTAGGATTATTGATAGATAGATCCAGCCGATAATTTTAGCAGTGACACATCAATATATAGTAGCTGCATTTCCACAGATGCACAATGCCAAAAGTTCATTCGTACATTTTTCCTCTTCATTTGGCATGCAATTAGATTTCCTTCCGAACATAACTTCTAGATATTTTATTTATCGTTAATTTTTAGTGTTTTATCTCTAAGAGTTGAATATTAAAAACTCAGAATTTATTATTTCTTAGTAAAAAGTACGATATCTATTATCTGTGGGTTCATTCCAAGTTCACACTCACAATTGCCCGCTTGTTATATTCCCTAATAAGATTACATCTTTAAATATATTATTTAGTAGTTGAAACTTATTTTTAAATGGACGACATCAGAAATTTACAAAGCTATTCCATCAACAGCTATATCCATCGATATGTATATCTTAATATATAAAAACATATATTATATGTGTGCTATATTCATTTTTGGTTAATATCCTTTTTACGCTAATTAGTTATTTTATTACTTATTTATAGTATTAGTTATTAGTACTTTCATCTTAATCTTAGGAAAGATTATTCATTGCAGCGCTTTCTTATTTTTTTTTTTGTTCTATTTTATCATTTATTTTTGTGTTCTTAGAAAAATAGTAATGAAATGCCATTTAAACTTTTATTATAAATTTTTTATTTAGTAGAATTCTTATATTTTTTTTTTTATTTAGTGTATTTTTTTTAAACCGTCAAACACATAATTATTTATATCCTTTTGTCCACTACAACACTACATAAACAAATTTTTCAATTTTTATTATAAGTTTAAATAACATCGTTTTAATATTCCCGATCCCTATGTATGGATATAGATATACTTCTTCAAACATTTTTTTATTAAAAATTGATTCACTTATTGACATTCCCAAAAACCAAAAAGTTTTATTATTCAGTTCTTAAATCTTTTTTTGTTTTTTCATTTAAGTTACTCATATTTTTTTTCAACTATGTTCCCGATAATTGTTGAATTCTAACATTATTATTTACAACTTCCAAAATCGTGACTATAAAAACAATCTCTATTAGTGTCAGCTAGACGAGCTATTAATTATTATTAAAAGGACCAAGAATCAGGTTGGCGATCCTTGAAATTATACTATCCGAGGCGACAATCTCCTGAACTAAAAAGAACAAATTAAGGCTATTGATAAACCTTATGTGCGTTGGTTCAAGACTTTGAATCTCTTTCAGTTCAATAAGAGCATAATAGAAACTGGATCCCTGTCCACAACAATTAATATTTTATCTAATATATAATATTTTATCTACATTTTTCAGAGTCTGAAGATTTCAAACTTCTTTATCCCATCTGTTGAAGATGATAACTAAGAAGGTGTCCAATTATAAATCAAAAATTAATTCCCTTTCAATGTTTCTTTTAAAATTATCATAATTAAAGTTAAGATTTTATATCCCAGAGATATAATAATTCCTAAGAACGGGTTAGTTTCTATTGGAATTATTTTAATTCCTACAGTAGTTTTAACTGGTTATCGACTCTGCAACTTAATATGCATATATTTAGTCTTTTTGAGAGTTGTCTTGTGATAATTGGTATTCCATATACTCCAATTTAAAAATTGTATGATCTATTTCTGTTCCACTATATTAGCTGTTTTGCATAATACATCTATTTATTCACTTATATCGCACCCTTTGTATTTCACAATCAAAAAATGTCTGTGAATGAACACCCTGCACTCATTTTTACAATTTTATATACTTGTATATAATATATATTTTGTGATAATATTGTTTATGCCGTCATTCATGGAGCATTTCTTAAAATTATTTCTATATATGAGTAACGTTTTTAACGTGCATGCTCATCTGTTGATGCATGACAAAAACTCTTTATACTACTAAGAAATTTAGAAGCTCTATTTAATACTGTCTACCAAGTTCAGAAATTTTTTAATTGCCAGTTTATTTCTTTAAGATTTGATGCCACATCATTAGATATAAACTCCATGCCACATAACTATTAACTCATGTCAAGTCAATTATTTATTACTGAAACTTATATCGGCTTATTAAATATATACATAATTAAATATGTTGATATATAAAATATATAAAAAAATTTACTCACATTTCAAAAATTATTGTTTTCCAACGACCTGTTGTTATCCGAGAAGAATTTACTTTCGATATATCTTTAATTACAATGGAAACCAGTTTCAAATATATACATTCTTTATGTCTTTCACTTTATCGTTATGTTCTTCTCACTGTATTGAAAGCACAATAATTTTATATTGATATATCTCCAATTAGGAAGGACTACAATGAAACGAAGTTTCAAAAATATACATTCTTTATGATGTCTTTCACTTTATTGTTATCTTCATCTCAATCTATTTGGTTGTTTATCCTTTCTATATTTTCCAATATATGTTCTAGTTTTTTCCTTTGTTATAATTTTGTTGTTTAAACTTATATAAAAATCGATATTTTCGACGAAAATATTAACATTTGACTAAATATTCCCATTTTTTATTAACCAATTCCAAAAATAATCTACCAATCCCTCCCAGATGGAACGCATATTTAGTGGTGCATGGAAGGACAAACGTGGTCAAACTAATGATACTAAAGATAAAACTAATGATGATGATACTGAAAATGATAATGATAACGATAATGAAAGTAAGAAACCAGAACAAGATGAAAAACTTAACAAAGAAAAACAAAAGAAACACGCGAAAGATAACGTTGAGGTAAAAAGCTTATTAATTAAAATTAATCAAAATTATTACTACATGTACTAATATACTATATGTCAACGTATAACTTAACATATATTTGTGTATATGTGCTATATATGTTAATAAACAATCAATAATATAACAAAATAATGGTATTCAGACCGAATACGGAGCTAGGGTCCCGTTCTAAATACCACTATGTATAATAAATATTTAATAATAAATATTACAAAATACTACACAATTTTTCCTAAGTAGGACGACTATATTGACGATGAGGAAGGTCTACAGCGAAAACATAAAGTAGACACTACACTACAAGTACATTTCTTTGGGAAGAAGGGCAATAACGATTTATATTACGATGGATTTTATAAATTTATGGATAATCTACAAACTGAAGTTTTAGAGTTAGAATTTAGTGAATTCTCAAAGGGTAACATACAAATTTCCGAACTGGATTTTGCTAAAATTCTATTACGTTACACTTATTTGGCTGCGGATGAATATGATAAATTCCTGGACCGTTTACTATCACGTATCAAAGATGAGGAACAGGGCATCACTTTTGAAGAATTTCGAGATTTCTGTAGATTCCTT